TCGTCATAATAAAGCTGTATTTGTAAAGAATCTGAGCATCGAGAGAACAGTGGGTGGGTTTTACAATAACTTCCATCCCTGAAGTCTTTGTATAAATTTGGAATGGATGCAATGTCTGCTTTGGTCATATTACAAATCTCTGGGTTTCTGAACATGAATTTCAAACTCTCTAAAACAGGAATGTATATAAATGTATCATTTACAGGCACCTGACAATAAGTGGCCGTTCTTTTGTTCCATCTACTATCATACCTAACACCTAAAACTACTTCCACAGGCTGAACTATTCCCCATTTTTCAGTAAAGTATCTATTTCTTTTAGAATCTGTATTGAAAGAAGCAAAGGGGTTTTCAAAATCATTTAAACTATGTTCTACTTCTGACTTTAAAGAATCGTTCACAGGAAAAGCACAGAGTACTCTGTGCTGAATCTCAGAGTGTATCTCAGTTACCAATTCCTCTAGATCACAAACAATTGATGATACTACATTACTGGAAGCACCACTTCCTTGTAGTTTTGCAACAATATCTGCACACATGTTTTTCCCATGACCTGGTGAAAAACCAGACCCACTGTTCTCAAGATTCTCAGTATCTAATACAGACTCATCACATAAAGTACATGGTGTCTCTGATGTATTGTCTTTGGAAGATAAATGTCTATTTTCATTCACAGTGCTTTCAGGGATGTACTGGGATGGATGACTAGTGTCTAAATGTTTTCTAAATCCAGAATAAGTGCTAAATTGTTTTATACATGTTTCTTGTCCACAAATTAACTTGAATTTTACAGAGGGATAAAAGGCATGCTCAAACCTTAAATGTGAAATTAGTGACTGATTAGATGTATATAATGCTTTGCATTTAAAACAAGATGGCATACTCAGCTGCTTTACAAATATTAATCATTCAGTAGTTTAGCGCGAAGCTCTTTTACTCTTGGGGACTCTCTTGTCTTGCCTACATCAATTTTGTAGATGGTTGTTTGAATGAAAGTGTAGAAGTTTAGGAGTGCATTGTCATATGTTAAATTAAAAACAAAGTGAGCTTTGAAAAGCTCGTCGAAAGCACTAAGGGAACCAACCACCTGACAGGGGATGAGATTTTTGTCAAGGACTACATAAAAGTTGTCAATCTGGTCTTGGCTTCTTCCTACAGCAAGGAGGTATGGCTGCCGTCCTTCTCTTTGCTGAACATGTTCATCAATGCTGTTGCAAAACTATAAAGAAACAAGGAAGCATTACATGAATCAACTAGGCCTACTAAGAACATGGGATCTACAAAAACAGTTTACACACATCATTACCTTATGATACACAACAAGGCGATCAGCAGCATCAGCAGCACTGATTTTGGCAGCTCTCTTGCCTCCCGGTTGAGGTGGAAGGAGATGAACGAGCAAAAGCAGAGTGGCCAAGTTACTGTCCCATTCTGACAATAACAAAGATGAATTAATGAATTAGCCTTAACCCATCATATACATTTGTTGCTACACAGGTCTTATAACTAAAAATACTAAAATCTTTGTTTCTGATATAATAAGGTAATAGTATATGGAAATACAACTTACTGCAATGGTCTTCACCGATTGTCTGTTTTCCTGCTGATGAGATGAGGGAACGCACAGCAGGAGTTAAAGTCAAGCCCATGGCTTCCTCAATGATTCCTGGCTTGAATACAGTGTCCCACTTTTCCAGCAATTTATTAGCCGTTTCAGGATTGAAGAGGAGTCTGAAGTCTTGGTTAACCTTTAAAACACCAAAAACATGCATATCAGGACCATTGGTTAATTTCACATTATTATTTTCACATTATGCCAATCACTGGATAAACCTACCAGTCCTTTGGTGTCTAAAAACCGGGGAAATATTTTCAGAATATCCATGGTTTTATCTGGGTCATGGACAAGTCCATGTCTGTGATGGAACGTTTCCTTCATCTTAAAGAAGATCTGACCTTCTTCAGAGGTATGGCAAAGCAAGGCAATGGCCTCTCTCACTGCGTCTTCATCAAGGTGCTCTTCAGGGTTGATGGATCTCTTCAAGCAAGGTCCACCCAGGTCAGAGCTAGCTGCATCACCCTTAGCAGCACGATGAGATGTATTCCTCTGCACTGTCTTTAGTCGCCAGGCAAGGTAGCCAGTTCCGCTGTCAACATCATAGAAATGCTCCTGCACAATTAAGAAATAAAAGATTCACTTATCACTGTGATCACAGTAAAAGCAAAATACACAACAGAGTTCAAAAACAAGTACACTCACATAGCCTTTCTTTGAGTATGGATCTCGCAATGCTGGGAAAAGTATCACAATACCAAGGGCATACTGCTCTCTTTGGTTCCGTGTAGGAATCCGCCTTAAAATGATTGAAAGGATTTCAAAAGAAAGGTGTGTTTAGCCAGTATTTTTAAGATCAACAGCTGGTACATCCCAAATACTGCCTGACTGCATAATTATGCAAAGTATAGGGAATATTAAGGTTAAATTGAGATCAAATAACATAGGGGAAAAATAAATGGACTTACCCATGCATCTCTACCATGTGTCCAACCAGTATGTTGACAAGAACACGCCTTGTTTCACTTGTCAGAGTGTTTTTGGATCTGTAATCAGCAAGTACGGCATCGCCACCGGCTTTGTGGTTTAAGGCAGCAAGGACAACCTTCAAAACAACTCAAATACATGAGTCCTGAATTCAGTATTTAAATTCAGTAAAACTGATTAGATGTGATTAACAATATAGACTTTAAGTAACTTATACAAAGGTAGAGAGAGACCAATGTTTTAACTAAAGGGCACATGATATGACCGTATGGCAAAATATGACAATGCTAACAAATAGAGCAAGACAATGACATTTATGTTTTGATGCTGTAGGATTACAAAAAATGCAAATGCAATTGCAATGCAGAAATAAAATTAAAAACCTCTTTGGCGGCAGTTGCCGGATCTTCTAACTTTTTGGACCTCTTGGCCGGACGCTCTGGTGTTTGGTCTAAGTCACTTGATGAACGGCTAGATATGGACAAAGTATCAGTGCAGGAGCTGCTTCCTGGAGGTAACATCTCCAATTCTGGAAGGAAAAATAAGCATTCTAAGAGATGAGGATATGACAAAATAAAAGAGAAGAGAACCAAACCTACCAGTATTGTTGTCTCTGACTGTTAACATCATGTCAGGTTTTGCCTTNAACATACACTTTGTCTTCCCAGAATGACCTTAATTTGCCAGGTCCACCCTTCTCATTTAAATTGCGGATCAGCACTCTGCTTCCAGGGTGTAATTGCTCCATGGACCTCTCTGTCATAGAGTATTTTGCCTTGTAACCCCTCTTTGGTGGCTGTCTTAGAAGCTAACTGATAGGCTTCAGTCATTCTAGCTCTCCATTTCTCAGCATAGTCTGTGTGGGATAAGCTTTGTTCTTTTGCTGTGAGGCCAAACATGAAATCAATAGGGAGTCTGGGGTTGCGACCAAACAAGAGATAATAGGGAGCATAGCCAGTAGCATCACTGCATGTGCAATTAAAAGCATGAACCACTTTTGTTAAGGAAGCTTTCCAATCTGCCTTAGCAGTTGCTGGTAAGTTTCTGAGCATGGGCAACAATGTCCGGTTAAATCTTTCCACTTGGCCATTCCCTTGCGGGTGGTACGGTGTGGTTCTCGACCCCTTGACTCCACTGTATTCCTCAAGCTTAGGAAACAGTTTGTTTTCGAACTCCTTACCCTGGTCATGGTGAAGTCTTGTAGGAAAACCAAATCTCAGCACAAAATCTCCAAATATCTTGTCTGCAGCTGTTTTGGCAGTTTTATTTCAACAGGGGTAAGCCTGGGCAAACCGTGTAAAGTGATCCATCACAACAAGGATATATTCATATCCTCCCTTACACTTCTCCAGATGTAAGAAATCAATGGAAACCTGTTCGAATGGATAGGTGGTGATGATGCTGGTGAGTGGAGCTTTGGTTGGTTTATTGGGATGCTTGCTTTTCAGGCAGCTGCACACATGTGTAATGTAATGCTCGATATCTCTTTGCATATGGGGCCAATAGAAGCGGTCCCTGATGAGATTCAAAACACTTTCTACTCCGAGATGACCCTTCTCTTCGTGGAGCTCCTTGTAAACCAGCTGGTGGTACTTTTTAGGTAGGAGTAGTTGTGTTCGACTGGCCGTTTTCCGATAAAGCAGCCCATCATTGTCAATATGCAGTTTCTCTCTCTGCCTTACCAGTGCAGCTGTTTTGTTATTATGGGAGCGTTTTCCACATGTTTTGAGATGACATATTTCAGCACCTCACCAATTACAGGATCTTCTCTTTGAGCCTCTCTCAGGG